CGTATCCTGTATTCTACAGAACACAAAAAAGGCCATTTTCCTCATTACAAAAAGTAAGTTTTTCCATAAATGATAAAGTTTTAGAATCATGTTGCTAGCCTCCGGGCAATAATTCGTGACTACGGCTTTTTCGAGATTTAAAGAGAGCGAGCGGCGCGCAAATTTCGCGCGAATCGGACGGACATCAGCAAGAACGGCCTCATGCTGAAGCGGAAGCACATCCGGCCAATCACTTGGGGCAAGCTCTGGACGAAACTAAAAAGGTTAGGATGGCAATTTGAGCGATCTAAAGGGCTATCCAACCAAAACCGATACTTCACGCCAGAAGGCTGATCAAGAAGACCAAACGCTACGCATCTTGTCGACTACTTCGATGGGCCAGATGAAGTATGGAAGCATTTATCCGTGGAAAATAGGTCGATTGGATGATTCTGGCCTACGATTTAGCGGCTAATATTGAAAGGTTTTGTATGATGAGGTTCCTCCTCCCAAGCGATCCGCATCTATCTCGGCGCCTGTAGAGAAGCAGCTGAGCATGGAGCCTGCATCACCTACGAAACCTCCGACCAAGGCTCAGTCACCCTCCCTAACCAAACCGGCGGAGGCTCAGTCCAAGTCTCCGGCGAAGGCACTAGCGACTACGGCGGCCTCAGGCCAGGCGCCGCCCAAGTCACCTGTCAAGACCCAATCCACGGCGCCGCCCAAGGCTCCAAGCAGGACCTCATCAGTGACGCCGCCCAAGTCAGCCCATCCACGACGCTGCACAAAACTCAGACCACGCAATCTCCAGCATCTACAACAATACCAGCCAGGATGTCCACCGCTCTAACTATTGGAGCAACGTCACCGACGCCACCGAGACAGACTCATGTAGCCGCAGTTACAAATCTGGTGGATTTCTCGACGGGTGACGACAGAATGGAGTCTGGAGACGAAGACGACTTTGTATTGGAGGATGGTGACTATTCTGACGCAGAGGCGGCCAGCGAGAGCTCTGCAAGCGATGCTAGTGACCCCGAGTGAACAAGTGATGAAGAAGATGCGGTGGATTGTCGGTGGGTACGCGCTTTGACAGAATGAGCAAGGAGGACCTGAGCGAGCACGCGAAGACGGGCTGGACAACATACTTCGAGGACGAAAGTAAGTTCAATCATGTACGGTACAGGTTTGCACTTATCAAACCCTTTGGACTATCCTGTATTATTCTCTAACTTTTATACTGTGTACTGAATGCAGGCTGCTCTCTCGATTTGCCTTCGGCAAGTCTAACCAAATGCACAGCAGCTCCAACTGAGATCGCGGAAGCACTCAGGTGTAATATGGAAGGACTCTTCTTCCTCTTTCTCCCCAAGGAGATGTGGATATCCGTCGCAAAGGCGTCCAATCGCTTCCAGCGCCAGTTCCGGTCCCACGCTATTGAATCGATCATGATTCGCCAGCGCCGCATGAAGGAGAGACGCCCCGAGTACAAAATGAAGACTCCGCAACAAGTGAAGAAGGGGCTAGACGCATTCAAGCCTATTCAGCCGCATGAACTGGTGCATTGCATTGGTCTAATATGTGCAAGAACATTATGCCCGCATCGCGAGAAGCTAGCAAAACACTGGGCAGTCGATCCACACGGCGCGGTACCGAAAGGCACCTTCGGACATTTCATGTCAGGAAAACGCTTCGAGGAAATTGTGCGGTTCATGCACGTTAGCAGCAACAACGACGCCGGTGCACGGCAATACAAGACTTGGAAAATCAAGCCCATTGCCGATACAACCAATAAGACGTTCAAGTTAGGCATGAGTGTTGGACAGCGCATTGCATTTGATGGAGGTATGATACCCATGAGGAGCAAGTACAACCCCATGCGACAATACCTTCGTGCCAAGCCCCATCCGTGGGGTACGAAGTGCTATGACGTGCGACGCTACAACGGGTTACTGCAACAGGTATGTCATGGAGAATCTATGTATTCTACAGGTTTATGTCTAACAAGTTGTGACCGTTATCCTGTGCAGGGCTGAAATCTATCAAGGGCGGCTGACGAGTGATAGTGTCGATCTGAACCAGGACCCGAACGCGGTAATTCGCAACCTTGACGCAGTGCTCGACGGACTACCGAAAAGACGACTCGTCATTATGGATCGGTTCTACTCGAGCGTGCTGCTGTCTTCGATTCTCCTACAACGGGGTCTTTATCACGTGGGCACCATTTAGACAAACCGGCGCGGATATTGCAACACGATTCCATACAAGCAGGCCAAGAGGCCAAAGAAGATGACGAGAAAGCTGTATCGAATTGCACAGTCGAAGGTGGAGCCAAGCATGGTGGCCGCTTCGTAGATGGACAGCCGTCCCGTTCACTTCATTGCCACGGGCTGTGGTACTGGTGTGGTAAGTTTGGTAAGACGTGCAGGCGCTGACACGGTTGACGTCCCAGCACCTCAGCTCGTCAACGCCTACCAAGAAGGCATGGGAGGCGCAGATATACATGATCAGCTGCGGCTCCAACGATATTCAATACAGGTACTGTTATTTGTAATCTACATTACTTTGGTTTCATATTGACAGTTGTTACCCTGTACACTACAGGGATCGATGAAAATGAAGAAATACTATCACACTTTCTTTCTCGGACCTATTGACATGCCGTTAGTCAATGCCTACATCATCCATCGCCGCGTCAAAGCAAGATTGAATCCAGGGTGTGATCCACCCACGCACGCAGAATTCATGAGAGCTATGCAAGTCGCATTGCTGAACGTGGGAGCTGCCGATTCCGAAGGATACTTATCTGTCGAAGCTTTGGTTGATACGAGCGTTGTACCGCCGACACACGCTCGCTACACACTCCCGGCCCATCACACACCTCGCCATGGATATTTTTCGCACGACAAGAGGCAAAATTGGAAAAGAATCGAGCAAAAGACATCAGTACGGATGCAAAGTGTGTTCATTACTTCACCCGGCAAAGACACCGTGGGAGACTACGTTTTACTGCGTTGGATGCTCAGAGGAAAGGACGAATCGCCAGTCGGGGGCACGGGGAAAGATTTATCTATGCTAAACGGTTCGCCCGACCCGTCGGGATCAATAAACTCAGCAGCTTGCAGCCAAATTTGGCACACCCTTTGGGGCTCTGGGCTCGTATACCCCCTGGTTTGAAGGCAATTCGCATGCGCTCACCAAGCGGCTCAAGCTCACGCCGCACAGGCGAAAATATTGATGACAGCGATAAAGAAGAAAGCTCGGCCAACGACTCTTCAAGAGAGGCATAATCGAGGTTAGTGCAGGAAACGTAGGCAGTATTGAAACAGCGTGCATCTACTACATAGATGTAAGTTAATCGCGTAGCACTTAGAATGATTGTAGTCCATTAGAGTGAATGTATCTGTAGAATTTTGGAATTTTTCTCTATAACTTCAATGTTTTAATCCTGGTTAATACAGAGTACATGATCCCGTATATTGACTGATAACCTGTATAGAACAGGGTAAATAAAGAGTAAGGATTGTGAGCTTCGCAAAACTCCGCAAATAGTAAAATCAAGATAAATCACTATCCTGTATAATACAGGGTAGCTTTTGCCCTAAATCGCGGGGCTAGAGAGGTTAATACAGGGCACCACCTATATTTCAGACATGTATTAACCCCTACTTAAGTACTTCGAGGAGGTCGGTACAATCAAACATCAAATTCGCGAGCTCACCAGGTGGCCGCGAAACGCATTTACAATGTTGAAATGAGCTCTCTATTACAAGTTAGATCTTATCGAAGCGCTTTCTGTTGATGTTAAAGCCACTTAATTCTGAGCACTATTTCTAGCAAGTGAGGGAGAAGGCTGAATCTAGTCTCCCATGATATCAAGCTGGGATCAAAGTGGTTTATGTAGTACATGCCCGGTGTCACATCCCAGTTGTGTCGCCTGAGATTTCGCCATCATTGCTGGGTGGCTGAATTTTAAGTAAGTTAGGTTTATAAAGTTAGAAATCCTGAATTTCATTGGTCACTCCAACGATTGATAGCTATAGTGGTCTTGAAGACGAAATGTAAAGTGACTGGCAGCCAACCTATTGTCTTGACAAATGCCACTGGTCCGGAGGACTTACATTGGGAAATTTATGGTCTCTAGTAGCTGAGTCGGCGTGATAATTCAAGTAGTGATGGGGTCCGATGATTTTGTACGGAGTACTTGTAAAATGTTCTTTCGATCAGCCATAATGTGGCTGTCTTAGCCACATTATAAACTAAGTGTGGCATGAAAAGTTAAGTAAAATATTGTAGTACTTCTGAAGCTGAAGCATTTAAAAATTAAAATAATATCGATGTTTTAAAAATTGACTAACGCACACTAGTACCGTTATCTCATTTAAACAGTACGGCAAGAAACGAAGGTGCTAATAATCATGCTATGTGAATTCAAGGCCTCTTAAGTAATTCTTGTTTATCTACTTTCATTCGAAATTACTTATCGTGGGATCCATTCGTATATATACAGCAGTTCCCCGATGGAGAGAGGATTTATTGGAATAGGCACTTAAGCTCCTGTGACTACAAATACACACTTAGAAGAGAAAAATGAAAAGTAAAGTTGAAAATCCCATTAGCGCTGTTTGCCTCGAAGCTTCAACTGTAACGGGCCTGGGGTGTCCGTTACTTGCTTACACGTAGTGATGAGGAAGCGTACAAGTCCAGTGATACTGAAACCAAGTACTTAGTCTGAAGGAAAATCAACTCTGTTTTTATTTATGTCCAGGGCGGCTTGCCCTGACCACTCAAATACACGTCAACTCCTTATTGGTTGATTATGGGTCTGGATCCCCATATTTCAACCAATAAGGTGACGGCAGTTCAGCACACGCTACTCGTGTGCTGCTGCACCTACTTTTGTAATGCAAACCTACCTACTTATGTAATGGTTTGAACCACTACAAAGAACCTATAAAACTACCTACATATGTAACTTGGGAGGGCCCATTACATCACCCCCCTCTTAAGACAGCAATCACCTAACGTGAGTGCACTCGGAGAACAATCGGGAAAACTGGGAAATGGCGGAGAAGAGAACGCTTGAGATCTTGACGAACAGCCTGCACCGCAGGTGGTGGCGCAGGATTAAGCACAGGCACATCTTGGTCAGCAACGCCTTGCGGTAGTGGGGCGTTCTGATTGGCCTGGACATCAGCGGCAGCTTGATAAAGAGTGTTACGACGAGTCGACATGGAGCAGGATGCGGCTGTTAACCAGTTAGACGCGAAGGAAGAGGAGACTTGAGTCAGGCAAAGTAAATTGTAGAATGAATTACGAGTGCTGGGTCGAATCGGTCCTAGCTGCAATCTTGTCGTGTAGGCGTCCTGTGGGCAATCTAGGGACATCCTGAGCGTCTTCTTTGAGGATTCTCTGCCCTAGCGTCATCAATAATTCATAGGATGCACCACTGTCATCACCAGGTCCGGTACGCCTTCATGTGCCAGTTGTTCATCCGGTATCAGGCAACCGCCAATACCAACTTCGACGACCCCAGCCCCAAATAGACACTTAGCCTCTGCTCCAACCGACGTTGTTGGTGCCACACTCGGGATGGATCTCAAGACAAATCTCGCAATGGACATGAGCACGTACTTACGATTGTCGACTATGGCTCCAGCTACAACCACGTATACCTGTTGAGACGCTAGATCGAGGCTGCTGACAATATCAGAACGTTCATTAGCGAATTCGAGACTCAGTTTGACTTATTAATCAAGTGTGTCCGCACGGACGGTGGTGGCGAGTTCATCAACTGAAAACAGCGTGAATTGTTCTAATCTCGCGGAATTATCCACCAGCATCAAAATTGGCTCTGCCTCTAAAGCAGTCCCCAAAACTGAATCTACACCCACGTCTAAGCTCTCGGTGTCGTCTTCGAAGTCCGGTACCGGATCCAAGGCGGGATCCGCTGCTACATCCAAGTCGGGATCGGCGTCCAAGACTGGATCCACGGCTGCTGTGTGTGGTGTAGTAGAACACACAAATATCGTCAGATGTGGATTCCTTACACAAACCACAACGAATCGCCGAGTTAGGTCGGCGGTTTGTATGGCCTGCGCAGAGGGTGGTCCCCTCGCGGTCCGGCCTTCCGGGACAGACGAGTGGCTCGTTTCCACTCGGTTCCGACTAACCAAGTCAGATCACTTCCGAGACTCCGCCGAGTTTGGTTCGGCTGAGCTCGTTCACAACCCTGTGCCCTCCACCAAAGGATGGACG